TGTCTTTTCTTTTGAATCGTTTTCTACTTCAGTACTGAAGAACTTATTCTAGTTTAGTCTCACTCCTACTGCTGACTCTCAACGAGATCACTACCGTGTTTTCCACGTGCTCTCATCATCCATAAATCTCTTTGTTTTTCTTCGCGTTTCCCCGTTTTCCGCTCTTGGTTGATCTCAAGGAGAAATTACGTAATCAATACTCGAAGGTTCTGAGTTCAAATGCCGCTTCTAGGATTTAAGAATCGTTATGTTGTTTACAAGTTCACCTTCGTGTAAGGGGTCGATCTTCGCTTGTCAATTCGTTTGAGGTATGTTCCGAAAAAGGAAATGAAACAAAAGAAAGTGAAGGATGTTTGGAGGAAGTGTTGCATTTTGCTACCAATCCCATTGATTATTTTTTCGAAAAATATCTTTACATTGATTGTTATCATAAATCAAGAGAATTTGTTTATTTCACCTTGTCAGCTATCAAAAATCACCATCACTTGCAAAGCGCCTGAGTTAATACCACCACCACTTCGTTGTCTTGTCTCTGAACTATCGAACCTATGGTTGAGATGCTCACGCACGCGAATTTGCGGCAGTTGTCTCCCTATCGGGTCATGACGACGACATTGCGAAAAGTACGTTTAAGGCCGAAAAATTTCCTTGCCGATTGGTGAGTTCTGCACACGCTTGAAAACAGTATCTTTTTGAGATAAAGGGAGCGATCTCTGGACATGTGAAAGACTTTTTCTTTCCTAGTCAACACCACTCTGTTTTATCACATAAGTCTGTTAGCGTCCCTAATCGAAGGATTACTTGGATCTTTCCGTATCGCATCCCCCCTCCCCCTCCCCATAAACAAAGGCCAAAAGAACTGTCCTTTGTAGTAGCGCTCGGCATCAGCAATTAACATCCAGCTAGTCAGCTGTGTTTTGATTCAGCTTTTTCCAAAAAAACCGAAAGAATTAACCGCTTACCCATACGTCGCTTTTCGTGGAATAGAGATTGTCGCGAATTGCTTCTGGACTCAGCCATCTCAGTGGTATTACACCTGCAATAAAATGGTTGACTAGATCTGCTCTATTCTAAAATTGCACAGCTTACCTTTGCTCATCTTCACGTAAATACCAGGTCGTGACATGCCGAAATCGCTAATTTTTAGCTGTTTATTTTCTCCAACTAAAATGTTCCGTGCAGCCAGATCTCGATGCGTTATATTGAGCGACTCCAAGTGGGCCTGGAAGCATTAACTGTATAAAAAATGGGGAAAACAAAAACAGAAATCAATTAACCATTCCGTTAGCGACTTGTGCAGCAAACGACTGTAACTCGGCAGGATCCAGCGAGTACTGCAGCTGATCTGTACCAATTAATGAGGAATGCATTGCAGCCGACACACTTTCATCCATGCGGAGAGATGTCTTCAGCGTGGAGACGGCTAACGACAACTAGAAAAGTTGTTATTGCTTCAGAACAGGTTTGATGTTTGTTTCAATGTGGGCGTTTGCGCGGGGAACTTAAACGAATTTCAAGATACCCATAAATTCGTTTTCTAAACGAATAGGTATTGAACAGCTAAACTTGGAATAAAGATGCGCAACAAAGAGTACAGAAAATATTCGAGAAATCTTTGAAAAATTATGAGAACGAAAAAATTCCTGTACCTTTTTGTGATTTAAGTCTCCAGCGACCTACAGGAGACCAAGTCTCCGATTAGCAACACTTTTTTGTTCTCATCATTTTGCCTTCCATTTTTGTGCACTTCCTGGCCCAACTTATAGCGCAATAATCACATCAAAGCACCTCCTATCCTTGGGGCCCTACGTTTTGCCTTGATGAAGAAAACGCGTTCCAGATAAACAGTACTGCAGTGCTTGTCCTGCTCTATACCGGTTGCAAAAAGAGCTTCGTGAATTCCTGGATTTTCAAGAGGGTAATCGTTCTCGTAGGTTCAGTCGGGGACTCGC